GCTTTTCCTCACACAAGGAAATTAATGTATTCACTAGCCTTGAAAAGTATTATCTGAAGCTATTTCAAGGTAGTGGTTAAAAATCATTGTGACATCTCTTCTGAAGAGATACCTATGGCAAGTGAAATTTGGCCCTGAGTGGAGGTCCAGCCCAACATCTGTGTGCTACCAAAGATCTGGTATGGCTTCGACATACAGATTAGGGAGGGCTTAGGTTGCATTTCACCCTATGGCATGTTTCTTCCTTCCTGCTTGTTGCCTTCTACACTAGTAATGTCAGTGCTAAAGATCTGAATGAAGATTGGACAGATCGTTTAAATCTCAACATTTCAGGGCTCAGCCCTCAACATTTTATTTGCAGTTATGCAAGTTTCAGATACTTCCCATTAGATCCAGATTCAACACTCAGGTTTCAATTTCTAACATTGTAGTTTAATTATCTGTATTTAAAGGGGAGAAACATGGTTTTCATTAGCATGTCTAAAATAGGTTCTAAGAAGATGTCTTTTCTATAAGAACTTGGGCCCAAACCTTCCATTTTGCCATCTGAAATACTCAAATCTCCAAACTGAGGAAACCTCCAGCAGCAAAGTCCTATTTTTTCCCCAAGTTTTCAAAATGAGTTTCTGTTTTTTTTGTGGTCTGGGGCTGTAAAGTAAAAGGACTTTATCTATGGTCTTATTTACACAGGAGATTTGCCTCAATTTCAACCACTGATATAACTGCACTAGTGCAACCCCCTACTATAGATAAGAAGAGTCACAGTCAGGGGCGGCACGTGAGTATAGGCCTACTCGTCCATCGCCTAGGGCACCTCCTTCAACGGGGCGCCCGATGATGATGTCAGGCCAACGTCATGCCATTGAGGGCTCTGCAGGCGGGGGCGCCAATCGCATGTTCCTCATGGGGTGCCAGCTGACGCAGCCTGCCTCAGACCACCCCTGATCACAGTTTGCACTGGTAGAATTTAACTCTGCTTAAAACCATGATAATAACAATGGTATAAATAATGGTTTATAAAGATTTAATCCTTAGGGGTTTGCAGTACTGCACTTACCCCGGTGACTGGCCACAGATGGCTGAAACAAATCCCATGTAAAGATAAGGCCTTCAAGGGGAGCTTTAACAATCTTAAGAGACACCCCGATTGAGCATTAAGCAATATGCCCTCTAAGAGTACAACTACACTGCAGAGGAAGATTGAAGCTGACGCTGTTGATCTTCCAGGGTTCGAATTAGTGGTCGAATTAAGACAGCTAATTCGAACTGAGTGGGGTACTCCTGTCAATGCCGGTAACCTTCATTTCACCAGGCATGAGGGAAGTCAAAGGAAGAATATTCTTCCTTCGACTTCCTGCAATGTAGACAGTACCAAAAGCCAAGTTAAGCTACTTTGACTAAGCTACACAATTAATGTAGCTGAAGTAGCATATTTTATTTCGACTTTGTCCCACAGTGTATACGTACCCTAAGGGAGGCACCTCCAGACCCCTTTGGCTCACTATACCATCCAAATTCAGGTAATCTAAAAATGAGATTGAGGAGAAAAATCCTTTGCATTTAGCTTCTCTGGACAGGTTCAGGATGATGAAGTTTATTACTAGACAAAGATAAACCCAGAAATTATCAAGTAAACAGCAGGATGAGGAAAACTCTCTTTATCCTGAAGTCAGTACTCTGAGTTCATGGCAGCCAAAGATTTGTCTAGAGACTTTTCATATGTAACAAGAAGTTTTTATGACTGACTTCAAAATAAACATAAAAGGAGTCTCCCCAGCACAGAGGTTAGAATGGTGGATATGGGAATATCAATACCAACTCATTAAAGAAAAACTCCAAGATCAAAGGCAAAAAAACCCCACCCCTCTACTAAAAGCAAACACCATAGTTACTCTAATGCTCTAAACCAGCGATTGTCTGCATCCTTGTGGGTCTGCAGACTATGTCTAAGAGGTCTGCAGTAAGCGACTATGAAAATAAAGTTTCAGTTCCCCAAAAAAGGCATTCCATTTTTCTGGCTGATCAAAAATATGTCAATACCCCCCATCTTCAGATCAAAACCCAGTGTCAGATGCTGCACTGAGCACATGTAACATTAATAGTTGAATTTTGTTCAGTCAGTTTTTGGTCTAAGACTCCTATGATAAGGATTCATGACCCACTGGTTCAATTTCCAAAGAGATCTGGCCCTCCATTTGAAATGCAGGGGTTTGCAAATGAAAGGTTGAAAACCACTGCTCTAAGAAACAACATGCAAATGCTGCTAGAAATAACACTTCTCCAAAGATGGCTTCTAAAATAGTGAAGTAGACTGTGATCAACGGAAGAAAGCTGCATAGTTTAAAACTGTTATATGTAAAGCATTCTTTAATAATAGGTAAACTGTGAGTGATTTGCCTTTTATATTTCTTGGCAATCAAACTTTCATTGGATCCTTGAAATTGTAATCTTTCAAAATGTTTCTATTAGAAAAGCAGTGGCAGTCCCAGAGTGCAACGATATCAGAAACCAACTTCTAGGGTACTCTGTGCTTGATGAATGAGTAATTTCCCATCAGTTGTGACAGAAAAGATATCTGCACATCAAATGCAAATACACTCCCATAGTGAGGAATTCTCAATTTGTTTTTTATTGTCTCTCTGCATGTATTATTTGCAAATCATTCCTTATGCCAATAGCTTACAAGAAACTGATCTTTGTGTATTAGCTGTCATGTTTACTTCTCCCTGTCCATGGATAGGATAAAAGACCAATTTGTTAAGATTGCTGCATGTCTGAAGATATACATTAGAAAGAATCCCATTGATAAATACCATATCTAGTTTCTGTGAGATATCTGATAACAGTTCAACAGCAAACCAGTGGTGCAAATTTAAGTGATGTAAGGTAATGTAAGGAGGTTCTACTTTAGACTCTCTCTCAAATCACCAAGTGTAAACTGATGGGCTACGTCTACACTGGCCCCTTTTCCGAAAGGGGCATGCTAATTTTACAGGTCGTAATAGGGAAATCCGCGGGGGATTTAATTTCTGGGCATTTAAATAAAAATGTCCGCCGCTTTTTTCTGGCTTGTAGAAAAGCCGGAAAAGAGCGCCTACACTGGCCCCGATCCTCCGGAAAAAAGCCCTTTTCCGGAGGATCTCTTATTCCTACTTTGAAAAGGGGCCAGTGTAGACGTAGCCATGAAGTTTACACACATAGGAGCCTGAAGTTAATTTAACTTACACATTCATAAACCTTCTTGAGCTGTTTTTCTTGCTACGCTCCCATCTCCTGGCCTCTCAGCATGTGAATTACACTATTTTAGACTCCCTTACACTCAGTCTCTGTGGCCTTGATCCTGTACTGTCATGCACCTTCTGTATGCATTGTAGTTGTAACTGTGTTGGTCCCAGGATAATAGACAAGTGAGTGAGGTAATATCTTTTAATGGACCAGTTTCTCTTGGTGAGACAGACAAGTATTCAAGCTACAGTAGAACCTCAGAATTATGAACACCAGAGTTAAAAACGGATCCATCAAACACACACCTCATTTGTAACCAGAAGTATGCAATCAGGCAGCAGCAAAGAGTAAAAAAAGCAAGTACCATATATTACCATGGTAAACTACTAAAAAAGGTGAAAAATTTTCAAAAGATTTGACAAGGTAATTAAGATGGCTAAAAACATTTTTATTTTGCACAATAAAGTTTCAAAGCTGCATTAAGTCGATGTTCAGTTGTAAACTTTTCAAAGACCAACCAAAATGTTTTGTTCAGAGTTACAAACAACCTACATTCCAGATGTGTTCATAATTCTGAGATTCTACTGTACATAAAGAAAAAGAGTGGTGTAGCTCGAAAGCTTCTCTCTCTTACCAATAGCAGTTGGTCCCCTAGAAGAGATCTCACCCACCTTTCACTTTCTGTAGTCATTTCCATCTAAGCAAAGTAAGTGTAAAATGCTACCATTCTGACCTTGTAAAACTGATGCTCAAGTTACACAGATTTAAAATACTAACCAAGGTACAAGGCAGTGGAGAATCAGGTCTAATGGGTCAAATTCAGAGTTGATATGTTAGGCAGGGTATGAGTTAATAAATGGGAGACAGTCTAAGTAAGTTAATCAAACAGAGCCTAAAAAAAGCCTTTAGTCCCAGTCTTCAAACTTGTTCCATATGACAGATCCTAGAGGTCACCCAGAAGTACAGTAACTTCAGTCGGGCTCCATGTGGATGCAGAGGTATGTTCAGAACAAGTTGTGGGATTAGGTTCTCAATTTAGGAAACAAACATTGAGACCCAGATGGTGGTATGGATTATGCCATCTTTAGACTTGTCTCTGAATTAGTCCCAAAATAGTATTATAGTTATTGCAAGCATAGAGTAAAAGGGCAAGATAGTCACTGTCTGTGCCAGTGCAGGAATATAAGGGAGCCCACGATGCCCCTTATTTCCCTGTGTAGTCCACCTGTATTGCAGATGAGAGAATCAGGGATGCAGCAGAGAGCAGCATCTAGAAAGCTGAGTTACCATAACGTCCCTGCTGTATTATAGAGCAATGCAGCTACACACTGCCCTACACTCAGGCCAGATTGTTAAGAGATGACAATCTCACCATTACTAACAGTTACTGAAATGAAAACATTCTATTTAGTTGCAACACTTGAATAAAAAAAGTTTAAGCTTTATAAAAATCATAAATACATCTACACATTTCCTTCATAATATGCCTTTTATATATGGGCAAGTGATTTAAAGTTGAAATAGTGCAATTTAAAAACAATAGTGCAGGAGGCAAACTATGAAAACAAAACAGAAGTTGTAGATCGTATTATATTATCTCCAGTACAAGTAAATTAACTCAGCAACCTTCTATATGAAAGCGACCTAGGGCAAAATTTTCTCAAGGTATAAGGGTATGTCTACACTACGGGATAACATTGAATTAAGATACACAACTTCAGCTATGCTAATTGCATAGCTGAAATGGAAGTACCTTAACTTGAATTTTCGCACTGTTCATATTGCAGGAAATTGAAGGGAGCACACTTTCCATTCGACTTCCCTTACTCCTCATGGAAACAGAACTCACGGCATCGACGGGAGCGTCCCTTTCAGTTCAAATTAGTGTGTCTTCACTAGACCTGCTCATTTGAACGCTGGAAGACTGACAGCGGCAGCTTCAATCTTCTCTGTAATGTAGACATATCCTAAGCGACTTAGGGCATGTGTACACTGCAATAAAATACTCGTGGCAGAGACCGGCTCAGCAGCCTCAGACTTGCAGGACTTGAGTTGCAGGGTAAAGAATTTTAGTGTAGATGTTTGGCCTTGGGTGAGAGCCTGGGTTCTGGAACCTACCTCTCTTGCATGGTCTCAGAGCCCAAGTTACAATATGTGCCTGAACATCTACACTACAGTTTTACAGCTCTGCAGCCCAAGTTCCACAAGCTCAAGGTCAGCTGATCTAGGCCAGCAGATCTTTTATCATACTGCAGATATTAGATGCTTTTGAAAAATTGTTCCCATAATTACTGAAGACCAGCACGAGTCATGCAGTCAGAGGATGGTGTCATGAACAATTGAAGGGACATCATCACATTAAAAACATTTATTTGGGTTTTTTTCCTATTAATGTGACAAGTAACATGATTTTTGTGAGTGTATACATTTAACAACACTTTGCGTGTCACTATCTGTATAAATGGATAATTAGTCATTTATTCCTGTTTTATATGTGGCTCTTTCAAACAGCAAGAGGGGAGAGATTAATATTTTTTACATAAGAAATGTGATTGTTAAAACATAACAAAAAATGGCAGGGCAACTAAGGCAGAGATATAGTAACTAAAAATAACTGTAGTTTGTTTTTTCAAAGGTGACCGGATTTTGAGTTAACATGTTCATGGATTTCAAGGAACTACTGTGATCCTCTAGTCTGACTTCCTTTATAACATGCATCATATAACTTCCCCCAGAATAATTCCGAGAGCAGAGCTTTTCTAAAAACCACCCAAACTTGATTTTAAATGACCCGTTATGGAGAATTCACTAGGACTCCTCAAAAATAGTTCCAATGGTCAATTAATCTCGCTGTTTAAAAATGTATGCCTTATTTCCACTCTGTATTTGTCTACCTTTGACTTCTGGCCATTGGATCACATTATATCTGTGTCTGTTAGACTAAAGAGCTCATTATTAAATACGTGTTGCCCATGTGGGTACTTAGAGATTGTGATCAGCTTGCCCCTTGGCCTTCTCTTTGTCAGGACTGTGGTCCTTGAGTCTTTCACTACAGTGGTCTTCCTTTAAATTAAGCAGTTATGATTCGAGAAGCCCTTGCCTGAAGCTGATTAAATTAATATGTGGATAAGGCAGTGCTGGTCCCTTTTACTGGAGAAAATAAAAATAAAGACATTAGATTAACAGGATAAAAGGATTAGTCTCAGTGACGTCAATAGGAGTTTTGCCATTGACTTCACATCATGCCATAAACAATAGAAGAAAGGCAAAAGGAAGATATAGTTATATACAACAGATAAGAGGGGAAGCTAGACCTGAAATTAGCACTGTGCCATGGTATCTGTGGTTTTACTTTGCTCCATATCCAAAGATCACTAGAGAGAATCATATTTTTTTAAATCTTTTCCCTTTGGTTTTTAATTGTAATTATTCATGTAGTCCAACAGGAAGATAAAATAAAACTGCTTGTTTTTCAATCTCATAAATATTCCAGATACTACAAAATCTATTGTAAAAATGTACATTCCGTTGTTTCCTGAGGCACAGGACCAGGTGCATTATCAGGGAAGATCATCTCTAGTCCATCCTGCCCATTATCAGACAATGGTGGAGAATCCAAGGGTTCACGCTTGATTGTGTGAACCAAGGAGGGATTTTTAAACTCACATTGCATCTTTAAAAACTGGTTATTTTGCACTTTCTCGTCTACCAAATTGGCGCTATAGAACTGATTGTAGAATTCAGTACGCTGAAAGTCATGGATGCTTTCCAAATATGCAGAGTTCTGGGGGCAAACCTGTGCCATCTCTTTATTATGTAACCCTCTACATGATCTGTTTATATTCATATTGTTGGCATGATTTGTTACAATGCATTGCCAATTGTGCGGTGTGTAAACACAGTTCTTTGGCTTTTGACAAGGAGACAACTGCTCATTGTGGTCAGATTCTGTTTTAAGGTGCATTGTATTAGGGTAGCCAGTCAGCTGCTTTTTCACCGTACCATTCTCATCCACCCAGACTCGACTTTGTGACATTGTGTAGCTATCAGCTACATTTTCAGAGTCAGAATCATACTCAGTTTTGATGGGCATATCTAGAGGAAATACTGTGTCGTACAAAGTTTCTGGATACAGCACCGGACGTTGTAATTTGACAGGATCTGTAGTGTAGTTTTCTCCAGTAAATTGCTGCAAGCCTGAATAAGACTGGCAGTTTTCTGTAGTACCCCAATGGGAAGGAAAGTTTGATGCTAAATTTAAAAGATTTTGATCTCTGTTACAGAATGGTCCAATTTTTCTGCTTGGACATGTATTGATACGTTGATTTACAGAACAAGAATTTGATGAATTTTTTAAAGTCCAAATGCTGTTCGTGTTGCAGTTGTTTTGGACACCTAAAAGTAATGTGTTAGAATTCAGAGATCCCTCTTGCATGAAACACTTTTCATTTGTATTAGGTTCAAACTTCACTTTTATGCTGTCTTGTGCATTTTTTACACTTGTCCAGTTAAGATGCTTCATCTGTCCCAAAGTTTCAATGGCACAGTTATAGGTAAGTGCGTCCTTGTGTCCTTTCAAACTTGTGATGTTCTTTGGTACCTTCAGGTGCACATCTTCCTCCCTTTCAATAGAGAGAGAAAATGTCAATCAGTCAAATGTTTCAAAAATGTTTTCCACAACATGTCTTGCCCATACAGAATGGAGTGCTGTGACAGGGGTTTCATTAATATTTGTTTGGGGTGATTTGGATAATTCATCTCTCATGAGTAATGTAGGAACTTCATACCCATGTCGATATATTCTTTATATTATATTACATTATTTTATAATGTATTACACACACACACACACACACACACACACACACACACACACAGAGTGCAAGACCTTCTCATTTAAACTTCTGTATGCATTTTTAATTTAATTCAATTTTTGGTGTACATTTTACCATTTCCTTAAGTACAATAGTAACCTTTTGATATCTTTTTTATTTAAAAAAAATCACCATAATATTCTGGGCAGAAATATGATTTCAATAGTGTGGAATAAAACAGAATTCACAGTAGTTAAAATGAAATCGTATTACAAAGTTAGGAATCATCAAGAACTTTCTGATTCAAGTGGCTTGATTGAGAGCTACAGAGGTGTTCTTTTTCTGAACAATTTATTGTAGGAGATGAAAAAAGCACTTAGAGGAAGTGTCTAGCAGAGAAAGTAAAAGGGTGTACCCCGGTGCACAGCTCCGGGAAGAGTAGGCCAAGCTGTGGCAAAAGCCAGCAGGAAACTATTTAAAGAGCTGACAAGAACCCGGGTTGCAATAGGACAGTACCTGTAAGAAATGTTAAATTACTTTCACTGCTGGTGTTTAAACTAATAATCCCAAACATTCACTAATTTGGGAGTCCCCATTTTCATGTGTTCAACTTGAGACATCTTTTGCCTAAGTTTCTGAGGTGCTATGATCCCTTAGTTCTCATTAGCTACACTTGAAGTACACAAAATTAATAATCATTTATCAAAAATTGGTCTTAACTTTTGGATAATAGGGATTATAATTCTTGGGCCTTAGATTAATCAGAGAGGAAAGATGTAAGACATTGAATCCAAGCTATTTAAGGTATAGGCCAAAATGGTTTGGGGAAAAGTGGATATCAGAATTAGAAACTTAAAAGAGAGCTCACACAAGAGGGTTTCAGAAGTTAGTCACTTAGCTTAATACAGTAAACTTCCGGTAATCCGGCACCTTTAGGACCCAGGGGGTGCCGGATTATCAGATATGCCGGACTATGAGAAGGGGGGGGGCCTATGAGGGGTCTGGAGTGGGGTGGGAAGGGATACCACCCCAGACCCCTCATAACCCCCCCTTACAATAGTCCGGCTCTGCCCCAGGCATCCCTGATTCAGCCGCTGCTGGTCAGTTTCAGCAGCAGCTGAATCGTGGCGCGGCGAGAGCAACCTGGCAGCACCCCAGCTTCTCTTGGGGACGCCTGGGGCAGAACAGCTGAGGTGCTGCCGGGTTGGTCCTGCAGCGCCGCTCCTCGTCGCTACTGGACCAACCCGACAGCACCCCAGCTTCTCTGCCTCAGGTGTCCCCAAGTCAGCTGCTGCTGAAACTGACCAGCGGCTGGGTGACAGCGCGCTGGGGGCGCCCCGGCTCC